ACGCTGTCTGGGGGTAGATGGGACCACGCTGTCTGGGGGTAGATGGGACCACGCTGTCTGTCTGGGGGTAGATGGGACCATGCTGTTTGGGGGTAGATGAGACCATGCTGTCTGTCTGGTGGCAGATGGGATCACGCTGTTGGCCTGGGAGTGGATGGGACCACACTGTCTGTCTCAGGGTAGCCGAGGAATTCAGTTAAATAGAAGACTTAGTCTCAACACTCCGAGATATTAAATTCCCGTTCGACAAAGCCCAGAGAACTCGGTGTGCTAGAGAGAAGGGAATGACAATGACTCAGAAGAAAAACACGAGCAAACAAACCATTAATTCAGTACGCACTGGCATTTGGGGCACTGTGGGGAATTCATCACAGAGCTCGGCTTCATCTGCGTTATTTCTTTGAAGGCCTCTCTATGGTAGCCATGCCCTCACAGAGCTAGAATGTCCTAGTTGCTAGTAGTCATGTTTTTAAAAACCAAAAAGAGCTGGGCAGTGGTGGCGCACGCCTTTAATCCCAGCACTCCGGAGACAGAGGCAGGCGGATCTCTGAGTTACAGGCCCACCCGGTCTACAAAGTGAGTTCCAGGATAGTCAGGACTGTTACACAGAGAAACTTGTCTCTAAAAATTCATAATAACAATAAATAATAATAAAATAAATAAATGAGCCGGGTGGTGGTGGTGCACGCCTTTAATCCCAGCACGTGGGAGGCAGACGGATCTGTGAGTTCGAGACCAGCCTGGTCTACAAGAGCTAGTTCCAGGACAGGCTCCAAAGCTACAGAAAAACCCTGTCTCAAAAAACCAAAATAAATAAATAAATAAATAAATAAATAAATAAAGGCAATCAATCTTAATAGTGTATCTTATTTTATCCAATTTACTAATATAATGCTATCATCATCATCATCATCATAATAATAATAATATATTATTTAGTGTTGGGTTTGTTTTGTTTTTTGAGACAGAGTTTGTCTGTGAAACAGTCCTTGCTGTCCTGGAACTCGCTCTGTAGACCAGGCTGGCCTGGAATTCACTGAGATCCACCTGCCTCTGCCTCCCGAGTGCTGGGATTAAAGGTATGCGCCACCACTGCCTGGCTTACTGTTATTTTTTATACTAGCAAGTAGCATATATTCTATTAAATACTAATGGTGATGGAAGAGACGTCATGGCTCACTGTCAAGGGTGCGCTGTTCCTGCAGAGGACGTGGGTTTGGTTCCCAGCACACACAGCTGGGCAGCTGACTATAGACCTCAGCTCCAGGGCATTTGATGCCCTTTCTGATCTCTGTGGGCACCTGTACACATGCACATATAATTTAAATAATAATATAAATCAAATATTGGTGATGATATAATTTTAATGTGTAATAATTCAGAATTATCAGCGTAAGTTGGGTGTAGTACCTCCTGTCAGTAACCCCAACACTTGGGAGGCTAAGACAAGAGAAATGAAAAGTTTGAAGCCAGTCTGAGCTACATAATGAGTTTAAGTACACTCACAATCCTCCCACCAAAAACAACAACAACAACCAACCACCAAAACAGCAAAAGGAGAAGGAAAGGGAACTAATGTTGTCATCTAAACTACACTTCTTCTTCTTACCAAGTCTTTGAAATGAGTGTGTATTTTACATTTATGAAAGACCTCCATTTGGGCTAGCCACATTTCAACTATGCAAAAAGTCAGGCAGTTACTGTGATGGACCAATAGTCCAGTTCTAGAACAGCCCCTGGGAGGAGCAAAGGCAAAAACAGAGAACAGGAAACCACGGTGCCCAGGGTGGGGGTAAGAGGGTCGGGGTGGGGGTGGGGGGTTACAATGATCACGTGTCTCAAGAACCGGGTGAAGCTTTGCTCTCTTCCTTTCTTTTCCACTCCCCCTTTCTTTCTTTTTATTTCTCTTTTTTTCTTTCTTCTTCTTTCTTCTTTCTTTCTGTCTGCCTGTCTTTCTTATTAATTAACTAATTTATTTATTTTTGAGACAGGGTCTTATTATGTAATTCTGGCTATCCTGGAACTCACTCTGTCAAACAGGTTGGTCTTGAATTCATGGAGATCCACCTGCCTCTGTCTCTCAAGTGCTGGAATTAAAGGCACGTGCCACCACCACCAGGCCCTTTTCTTTCTCTTTCTTCTTTTCTTCCTTTCCCTCTCTCTTTTCTTTCTTTCTTTTGTTCTTTCTTTTTCTGAGTCAGGTTTGGGCTATTACCATCATGACTGACTTCTGTGAAGTTTTTGGAAGCTTTACAAATCGGGGCAAGATAAGCCAATAAGCAGGAGAAATTTAGAAGCCTGGAATGAAATGAAAGGCCTCCTAGCTGGGCATGGAGGCTGGCACATGACTTTAGTCCCAGCACCTGGGAGGCAGAAACAGGTGGATTGCCATGAGTTTGAGGCCAGCCTGGTCTACAGAGCGAATTCCAGGACCAGCTGAGGAAAATTTGCCTCTAGAAGTTGTAAACAAACAAACAAAAAACCTGTTTACAATGCTACAAACATCCCTTACTTACACATTTTACAGTCAACACAAGCTAAAGATTTATGGAAATCTCTTCTGAAAGTCCGAACATCTTCAAACTGTAAACAGGAGAAGGAGAAGCTGAAGGTGCTGTCTTAGGAGTGAAGGCTGCAGTGTGCTAGTACACGGCTCAGTGTCTGTCGGGGCTTAGCTCCTCCTTGACTGAAAATTCCATAATTATTTCCCCAAGACTAGGAGAAGGAACCCAGCTAGGTGGCGCATGCTTTTAATCCCAGCGTGTGCCTTCAATCCCAGCACTCGGGAGGCTGAGATGCAAAGGGTTGCTGCAAGCTCATGACCAGCCTGAGCTACAGAGTAAGCTTCTGTCTCAAAACATTACAGAAAACAAAAGCAAAATTGCATACTTGGGCTATCTGGTGTTAATATCTATTTTAGGAGAGAAACGGGGAGCTCAGAGTTTAGGGTCCCACAGCTCGCTTTTTTGGTCAGTTGACGGGTTTGTAATGTAGCAGTAAGGTTGCTGAAAAATATAGAACACTTCGCGAATTTGCGTGTCATCCTAGGGCAGGGGCCATGCTAATCTTCTCTGTGGCAACCCAGTCTTACTGTGTGTGCTGCCGAAGCCAGCACGGAGTTGAGCGTTTAAAGGACAAGATGTGTCCCAGAGCTTGGCCACTACACACCATGACCTGGCCTACATCGCTTACAAAAAAGAAACCCTCCCTTTTCTTTTCTGCAATCTGACACAAGATCAAAAGATGGAGAACTTTCCACCTTTGGAATATGGTATAGCTTTTATTTTCTTGGTTTAAATACTTCATTAAAGAAAGCAAGGGAATCGGGTGTGATCATCCACACCTGTAATCCCAGCACTTGGCAGGCTGAAACAGGTTAAGCAGAGGAAGTTACATAAGGAGACCCCGTCTCAAGCAAGCAAATAAACAAATAAAACACACACAGGAGAGAAAGAGAGAGAGAGATTCCATTTTCTTTGTGAAAAATAGATTATTCGTTGATACAATCCATCCCTACACAGTTCTCCCACCTTCCCCTCTTCCCCACTCCTCCACACCTCTCCTCTCCCCTAGATCTATTCCCCTTCCACTTCCCCTCAGAAGAGAGCAGGCCTCCAGGAGACAAACCAGCAAACCAACAAAACAAAATACAGTAAGGCAAGGTCAAAAGCCCTCACATGGAGTCTAGACCAGGAGGGAAGGGGGTTTTCTTAGGACACCAGTCCCGTGAACCCAGGCTGATCCTCCTGCCTAGGCCTGTCAAGAGCTAGACCTATAAGCACGTACCACCATGCCCAGCTTTCATTTCCTGTAGATCAGAATATATAAGCATGATTAAATACTCATCTCCTTTTTTTCCCATTGCTTAAATAGAAAAAGAAGTGAATTTCATATTGAAAACAAGAGCGGCAACTACAGAAAGGTTAAGTGTATCTTGGTTGACTTAGTCACGAGTGATAAGAGTTTATTTAAGAGGAAACTCCCTGAGTACAGCTGAGCTGGTCAAACTGCCGCATCCCCAGCGGGCAACGCGTCTGGACTGTGGGGATGTCGCAAAGCTACTTCTTTAAATGCAATGCCAATATTTGATGTCTTTAACCAAGCACTTCAAAAAATTAAGTATTTTCATGTGGCTTGTGAAACCGACTGGTGGGAAGGAAATGCCAACAGGCTCGAGAGTACCTTGCTTTTTTTCTATTTCCATTCACTCCTTCCCCCCAAAGCCTGTTTGGATCTAATTCTTCCGTAGCACTGTACACTTTTCTCCTATTTCCTCTGAAGAGGATGGACACTTGACAAGGGAAAACTCCTTAGTGCTTTAGAAACAACAGCGTAGAGGGAACATCAGACTTGCTGGGGCAAAGATGCTTTGCTTTAGCTGAACTGCAGTCTGGATCCTAAACCTTCTCCTGGACCCATATGTGCCCGTCAAAATAAGGAACAACTTAAGTGGGATATAAATTTAGAATATAAACTCAATTTAACCACCCCTGATTAAGGTTAGTGTGGTGGGCTGAATCAGAATGGCCCCCCACAGGCTCATATACTCTAATGTTTGGGTCTCAGTTGGTGGAACTGTTTGGGAAGAATTCAGAGGCGTGGTCTTGTTGAAAATGCGTCACTAGGGGTGGGCTCTGAAGTTCCAAAGGTCTTTGCCATTCTCAGTTACTTCCCTTTGCCTCATGAGTGTAGATCAAGATGTAAGTCCTTAGCTACCGCTCTGGTACCATATGGGCCTGACCGCCTGCCTGCCACCATGGTCCCCTCCCCCCCCCCCCGCCCCATGACGTCATGGACTTCAACCCTCTGCAACAGTAAGCACCAAATAAACTCTCTGCTCAATAAGTTGCCTTGGTCATGGTGTCTTTCACAGCAACAGAAACAAAGTAACTAAGACAGTTAGATAGAAAGTGTCTCCATCCCAGCTCCCAAAGGTTCAAGCATCTGTGGGGGACTTGGTCCCAGCAGGTGGCACAATCAGGTAGAGATTCTAAAAATTTTAAGAGGTAGGACCTATCTGGAAGAAGCAGATCACTGAAGTCAGTCCTTGGACCAGGGCTTGGGGAGGCATGTCCCAGACCCCTTCCCCCACCCCCTCGTCCCATCCCTGCCTCTCTTCCTCCCCTTCTCCCCCTTCTTCCCCTGCTTTCTCTTTCCTGTTCATAAGGAAGTGAAGAAATTCTGTGCCCATATGCCCCAATTGTCACAGTGTTCTGCAAGAGCTCATGGGTCCAAGCAACCATGGCCTGAAGTCTCAGAGACGGTGGATGGAGTCTAGTAACCCATCTCCACCCAATTGATACAATCTCTCTGGTTAGAGTCGGCTCCCTCCGTCCCATGCATCCCCCAGGATATTTGATTGCCCTGATTGCGTCTTGTACAAGAATCCCACCGAGGAAGTTTAGCTACCTCAGGTCTCCTTGGTTCTCTCCTACCCAGTGACCCCAAGTTGCTTCCTGGCTCTAGACTCCTACTTAGCTGGTCTTGGCAGGCTGGGGAGGGAGTGGGCGTGACTTATCTCTTAAAGAGGCAGGGCAGGACAGACCATTACATCCGCGCGTACTCAGTGAGTCTCTCTCCCTACTGCCTGGGAGGACGGGGCCCCCCCCCCCGCTTAGAGCAGCCCCTCTAGAACAGACCGCATTTTTCCAGTTGACACATGGAAAGGATACTGGGGATGACAGCTATACAGGAAATGGCAGAGATGACCATGCGGACATGGCACGTGGTGTGACTGTTCCACTGGGGACACGATTTGTAGGAGATGACCGATTGCAGGAATGTGTAAACCACACCGCAGACGAAAGCCAGGAGGGCGCCGGCGTCGTGGACCACGGGCATCGCTAACTCCTGCAGAGATCGTGAGTGGGTTCTTACTCCGTGGGGGAGGTGCTAACCAGAGGCCACCAGCAGCTCATTCACGCGCTCCAAGCCAGCGATTCTCAACCTTCCTAATGCTGAGACCCTTTAGCACCATTCCTCGCGTTGTGGTGCCCCCCCTCCCCAACCATAAAATCCTTTTCGCTGCCATTTCATAACTGTAGTTTTGCTGCTGTTATGAACTGTAATGTAAATATCTGGTGTGCAGGATATCTGACAGGCAACCCCCGTGAAAGGGTCATTTGACCGCCCCAAAGGGGTCGCGACCCCCAGGTGAGAACTACCGCAGAGAAAAGCCTCCCACTGCTGATGAACCCACTCCCACCACCATTACTCCGGTACAAATGAGAAAGGAAAAAGAGCATCCATCCTGGAGGAGAGCTGGGATGGGCCTTAGAGCCTGGTCTTCTAAATCAAGTCATAACTCCACCATAAGACTATGACCTTAAGATAATGAGAGCCTCCATCTTGGTCTGCCATCAGTTCTGCTTTGTATGCTCACAGTGACGACTACAGGAGAGTATCTTCTATAAAACACTGCATTTGGAGCAGGGCAGTGGTGGCGCACGGCTTTAATCCCAGCACCTGGGAGGCAGAGGCAGGCAGATCTCTGGGAGTTCAGGGCCAGCTTGGTCTACAGTGTGAGTTCCAGGACAGCCATGGCTACAGAGAAACCCTGTTTAGGAAAAAAAAAGTGCACTTTTGCATTTAGAAGCCAGGTGAGGCAGCCCAAGCCTGCAATTTCAATACTTAGGAAACTGAGGTAGGTGAGTTACTGTGAGTACCAGTACAATTGCATTCGTATTCTACAATGTGCTGTGTTATTTTCTATAACTAGGATATCTAACATGGGCATACAGATATAATTCTATATATAAAGTAAGGGACAGTCTATGTTTTAAAATATGTATGCCCCTTTAAATGTGGGTGTACGTACAGAATTCAGAAAAATAGCCAATGAATAATACAGAGAAAAGTACTTAAGATGAAAATTCTATATTATGTATATTTTACCATAGTTTTAAAAGATGTCCTTAAAGAATTGAGAGAAACAAATCCCTTTCACGGCTTGAGTGGGAAGCAAGTTTGCGTGAGGGCAAAATAGAAACCAAGGCCCCTTGTGCTAATGAGTCACTTTCAGGAGTGGTTGGAATTCGGGTACTTTCCGCATTCATAGGCATCCTGAATTTGAACCCGTTTTCTCCTCTGGCTGTGAGAACATTTCCTTCCTCTGTCCTGGCCATCTTGACACGTCCTTCTGGAGCTAAATCTGCAAGCTTCGTGCTTGTCCTGCCATGATCATATCGAAAGGCTCCAGACTCGGCAGGTGTTGCATCTCTGATGGGTCTTCTTCACAATGGTATATGTACTCTGTCACTAAAGGGGTCTTAACTGAGGTGTGGGGGTACACACCCATTATCACTCAGGAAGCCGAGGAAGGGGGATCAAGTGTTCATGGCCAGCCTGGGTTACATAGTGAGATTTCATCTCAAAAATCACTCCTCTCTCTCTCTCTCTCTCTCTCTCTCTCTCTCTCTCTCTCTCACACACACACACACACACACACACACACACACATACACACAGAACTTCATGTATTCCAGGCTGGCCTCAGACTCCTTATGTAGCTGAGGACCTTGAATCCCCTTGCCTCTACCTCCTAAATACAATAGGTAGACTTGCACCATCCCCAGAATTAAAGGGTGTTGGGGATTAAATCCAGGCCCTCGTGCATGCTAAGCAAGCTTTCTGTCAACTGAACCATACCCCCAGGCTCCTGTCTTTAGAAAGGGATGGTTCGTAGGTCAGATATGGATTTTGGGTGGATAAGGTGGAAAACTGGCATGCCTCGGACTCAGAAGCTTTTGCAAGTTTCAAGACCATGAAGCACAGAAAACACCAGAATACTGAGGGGTTAAACTTTGGGTATTTTCTTTTTGCCATAATGAACATCTCAGTTTAAAAAAAAAAAGTTTAGTTTTAAGGTATAAATAATAATTGTATTTATCCATGATATTTATGAAAGTTTTGTGTATGTTTATAATGTAAACTGGGCAAGATAAGCTCTGTCTCTGGAGTGAACGTGTGCTGCCATGTCTGGCTTGTTTTTGTTTGTTTGCTGATTGAGACAGGTTCTTGTTTGTAGCTGAGGCTGGCTTCCAACCCATGATCCTCCTCCCTCAGCCTTTTGAGTGCTAGAATTACAGGTGTGTGCCACCACACGAGGCTTATGGTGTGCGTGTTCATGCGGACCATGGTGCGTGATCAAGACAACTTTGAAAGTCAGTTTTCTCCCTCTATGGTGGATTTTGGGGGCTGAGTTCAGGCCTCACAGCAAGGCAAAGGCTGACATCTGATGAGCCATCTCAATGCCCTGATTTACAGCTCTTAATTGGCTGTTTTTTCCAGTTCTTCACTTTAACCACTTGGCTGTGACTACACAAGCATTGGATTTTCTCTTTGTTCTGGAATCAGCCACTCTTTTTGTTTTGTTCTGGTTTGGTTTTTGGTTTTTTGAGACAGGGTTTCTCTGTGTAGCCCTGGTTGTCCTGAAACTCACTCTGTAGCCCAGGCTGGCCTCGAACTCAGATCCGCCTGCCTCTGCCTCCCAAGTGCTGGGATTACAGACTTGTGCCACCACTGTTGGGCTTCAGCCACCCTTCTATTCCATAAAATAAACAGTAAAATAAAATTTATTTATAAAAATAAAAAGTAAGTGCTCCCTTGCTTCAGCTCCTTTAGAGTCCACCTATGAGGAAGATTGTATGATAGTTGTCTTTTTTGCATCTGGCTTATTTCATTTTGTGTGGGGTGTTGCTCATGTATGTGAGTGTGTGTGTGTGTGTGTGTGTGTGTGTGTGTGTATGTGTGTGTTCATGCGTCCACGCGAAAAGCAGAGGTCAACCTCGGGTGTCATTGCTCAGAAGCCCCCACCTTGTTTGGACAGGGTCCCTCACTGACCTGTAATTCACTAATTGTGTTAAGCCAACTGACCAGGGATCTGCCTGTCTCTGTGTCCCCAGTGCTGGTGTCACCTGAGTTACGTGGGCTCTGTGCACTTTATCAGTAGACAGAGCAATCTTCCAGCCCCTGGCTCATTTCACTTAACATGCTGTCTCATGTTATCACCTCACAGGACGGAATTCTGTGCAGAAAATGAAGCCCTGGTAGAAATAAATGAGGCAAGCACAAGGCAGGTAACCTGCCCACCTGGTGAGGGAAGCAAAGCTGTGGCCATCTCAGGAAGTTTTAAATGATCAAACTCCGGAGCCTCCTCCACTCTCCCTTGGTCTCATAGTTCGAATTCTTCTCCAGGTCCACGGCTTGTAGCAAGCTAAAAATGCACCACAGACCCTCAAACAAGGACGCTGTGCGGAAAGGCTTAGGTGTGCACTGACAGGGCAAACAGTGGACGCCCACGGAAGCTCCCACGTCTGGATTTTTGTAAGGACTTAATTCACGGAAGCTTTAAGTCGAGTTTAGGAGAAAATCCATTATCTATCCATAATATTTTCTTCACAAAGTCTGTCCTTTGTGATTTTACACCCTATAATGCTATTCAGAGGAGGACGTGGTATTATTATAGCATAGTATATCAAAGCATATTCTATCATATTATCAAAGCACACCTTCCTCCCGCTGAGCTGTTCATATATACTCACTGATAATGCTCATCACTCTAAGGTCCCCTCTGCCTGTTAGCCTGCTGTAAACTGTGCAGTCCCCTTTCACCAACCAAGGATTGGTTCGAAGAACGCTTACCCATCCCTACCCTGTGGGACATCCTGAATATGTAGTCTTGTATAAGAAAGGTGACCTTTCACCCTAACTGTTGGCAAACAGTCCTGAGTTTCCTGCAGTGCTTTATCATGAGCTCCCCACCCCCAATGCTAACAGAGGGCGCCTCGCTTGATGGGTGCAGAGACAGTGAGTCTGTGGGGCTCATGAGATGCAGGTCAGGCTGAGGCCACTCCAACCACGCTCCAGCTCCATGCAGGAGTAGACACTAGAGCATGGATGGACAGCAGGTGATGTAGGAAGTTTTGTGCTTATTCCTGTGTACGGCACATCCTGGAGCAGCCCACTAGAGGGAAGCCTGCTGCTTTTTGTAAAAACAAGCATCATACAAGGTCATTGCTGGTGGGGAGAAGGTTAGAGATTCCCCTGGGCAGAATCTAAGGCCTCCTGTAGAAACCCATCCTGCTCTCCCGTGGAGACAACAGAGGGCAAGACCATCATCACAGTGGCTGTGACTACGACAGCCACCGAGTCCAGACGGCTGACTACTGTACACTGATTCTCTCTGGTCCAATCCTTGTAACCGTCTTAAGAGGTGGGGACTGTCAGAAGTATGAACAGGAAGCTTACAGATTTTTCTAAGCTATTAAATAGCTTCTCCATAGACAAATCAAATGCTCTCTTGGAAAAGACTGTGGGATGAGCAGGAATCTACAAATTAAAGAAAAAGTGTGGGTCCTGGGATAGAGGCCGTATTCTGGTTCTGCAAACTAAATTCACTGAATAAACCTGAGCAAATGATTTCACCTCCATAAACCAAATCTTCAACAAAAGAGAGAGGTTAGGAGCTTCTCTTTGAGTAAACGATGGATCATATCCCACAGCAGAGACATAAGCATTGGCTCAGTTGTTTACAAAGCTAAAGTACCACTTGCTTCACACTACATGAATATGAACTGGAGAGCCAGGCGTGGTACTTCATGCCTGCAATCCCTGCACTCAGAAGACTGGGGCAGAAGAACTCAGCATTAGTAGTTTTAAGGTTAAATCTGTGTGTGTGAGTGTGCATGTGTGTGCGTGTGTGTGAGCACGCGTGTGTGCTCACATGCACGTGTGTACACATGATGAAAATGAGGCCTGCCAAAAGTTCCAGACCAAGTTTAGCCATATAGAAGAGGGTAAAGAAGAGTCCTTTTTTTTTTTATGAGGCTGGGGTGGGTGCATACCTTTAAACTCAGTACTTGAGAGGCAGAGGCAGGCGGATCTCTGTGAGTTTGAGGGCAGCCTGGTCTGCGAAATGAATTCCAGGACAGCCAGGGGTGTTACACAGAGATACCGTCTCAAAAACCAAAACCAAACAAACAAACTGAACAAACAAGAAGCAGTGCCGAGCCTGTATCACTACTGGAGGTACACGCTCTCATTGGCTTGCATATATAAACCCTTCTCCCCCAGTTCCCAAGAAAGACTGACGATCATGCTAAAACTCAACCCAATCCTAGCTCTTTGGCCATCTCCCAGCTCTCCCAGCGTTCCTGGCTCTCCCGGCTCTCCCAGCACAGGCTGGTTTTTGAATCCCTGCTTCTCTACTCATGCGTGGGCTCTTCCATGGTCAACCACCCCAAACACTCAGACCATACCTGAAAATTGGCTACAATGCCCATTCCAAAACACCCCACAAATCCAAGAACCAAGGACACCAAGTTGAAGACAGGAGTGCCAAAGTAGCAGGTCTCGTTTTGCTTCTCCACTATTTTATATCTCATGTACATTGTAGCCGCACCTGAGGGAAAGAAGTACAGTCTAGTGAGTTTTAATCCCTGATGATTTTTAATGAAAAACAAGAACATGTGTGAGTCATTTTTTATTTTACACAAAATTTCTTAATTACAGCCGGGAGTGTAACATGAGGCCTTGGGTTTGATTCCCAGAACAGGAAAGAAAGAAAAAAGTCCTGATTGCAACACATTTAGTTCTTCCATTCTCTGACCCACGTGCTGTGTGCGTGTGCGCACACCCACGCCCACACCCCCACACTATCTTAGCTATTTTCATGTAAAGGGCATTGCACTCTGTGCGTTATTCTATGACTTGCTTTTCTCACTTAACAATGGACCATGAAGCTTCTTTCAAATTACTGCAAAATAAATCTACACTGTCATTTTCAGGAGGCTTCAATCTGGCGTGTGAGATCCTGTCTTTATTTTGCTCTTCTCTTATGGATGGAGTTCTACTTTGTTCCCTGGGTTTTCCAGCTACAAACCATACTCCATTAACATTCCTGACTTGTAAATTCGGGGTATGTCTTCAGAGTAGTAGTCTAAGGTTAAAAAAGTAAGTGTGTGTGTGCGTGATTAAAATGCTGAGAAGCAGGTCTCGCTCGCTCTGAGTCTGCCTAGGTGAGAGTGTCGCTGTGTGCGTAACCCTTTTAAATGAACAGTCATCTGAGGCATGAAGATGGGAAACTTTAATTGGTATTTCCTCTTTAGTGGGCGGTGACAGTTTCAGCCTCCTGAAAATTGCCTTTTGGTTTTTTGTGTGTCTTCTGAGAATTACATGACCATGTTGCATTCATATTTTCCCCCTGGGTTCAAGCTGTAGTGACTTTGACACATTCCGCATGCCAGTCTTCCGTCTACTGCCAATATGAAATGTTTTCTTCTGGGCCGTTTGTGAAGTGTGTAAAATGTGTGGCCCTCACTCTGAGAAGCTGGACTTTGTGTGTATTTACACAGTTAAGGCCACATTGGGCAACCTAGAAGAGACTTTATCTCAAAATTTTAAAACGTTGAAAACAAAGTAAATAAAAAAGCAGACTCGCAAGGGGTGATGGCGCATGGTGAGAGTCCCAGCCTTTCAAAGCCTAACGAAGAATTGCAAGTTCTACGCAACCTCTGGCCTACACAGCAAGTGTAAGTGGGCCCGGCCACACAGCAAGGCTTTATCTTGTAGGGGAAAAGCTAAACCTGGACACTTAACCCACTTTTAAAATGAGAATATCTTCATGGCGTGTATTGGGTCGAAAGCCTGAACCTGGTTCGGCAAAGATGCATGAAAAGGCATTGGAACTGACAGGCTCTCTCTTTCTTTCTGCCCCCTTTCTCACCTCCAAACCCAACTGGGAGAGCCCATAAATGGGTGAGCAAGAGAAACTTTCTGCCAAGTTGCACAAATTCTAAAGCGGCCCACCCACTCCTTCTGGAGGGTTCCTGGAGGTCCTCCTGGCCTGCTCTACGGAGGAGAGAAGAGGGAATGTGGGTCACACCATAGGCTCTGAGGGTTCCACAGGGCAGAGGATAAACGGATGGAGAGCCACCCCACCCCACCCCCACACCCCCACACCCCCTCCACTCCCGGCATCTGACACCTCTATCCTCCAATCCTCTGGCAGAAGATCCAGTTTTATATCAATGGCAAAGTAACTGGAATCAGTGTACATGATAAGACTGCATCCCAACCATTATTTCTACATAACTTCTGAGGAATGGACAAAAAAATACACACACACATACACACACACACACACACACACACACCTGAGACAGAAACAAACTGCTCTGCTTTTATCTTTTTCTATTCCTCCTCACAAGTCAGCCGTTCCCAGTCTATGAAAGGCAATCACGTCCCCTGAATTGCTTTGGTTTGGATTTATGGATCAAACCCAGGTCTACCTACATGCCAGGCAAGTGGTCAACCACTCTTCTCCACCCTGGCTCCACGTGCCTAGGTACAACACGTATTCCCTGAGCCCTGTTACAGTTCTTGACTGAGCGGATCTGTAGGTAGCTCAGGAACAGGCTTCTAACCCCAGCTGATTCCGTGTAAGCTGCCCTCAGAATACATTTTAAGACATGGCCTTAGCCGGGTGGTGGTGGCGCACGCCTTTAATCCCAGCACTCGGGAGGCAGAGGCAGGTGGATCTCTGAGTTCGAGGCCAGCCTGGTCTACAAGAGCTAGTTCCAGGACAGGCTCCAAAGCTACAGCGAAACCCTGTCTCAAAAAAACAAAAAACAAAACAAAACAAAAAAACAAACAAAAATAAGACATGGCCTTACACCCTGGATTCCTCACATGCCTTGGTTATAAATGAGGCTTTTTTTGTTGGTGGTGGTGGCGGCTTTTTGTTGTTGTTTGGTGGGGCTAGGCATTGAGACAGGGTTTCTCCATGTCGAGACAGCCCTGGCTATCCTGGAACTCACTCTGTAGACTAGGCTGGCCTGGAACTCAGAGATCTGCTTGCCTCTGCCTCCCAAACGCTGGGATACAAATAAATTTTTTAAAGCTAAATTTTCTGAAAATCCCTTTCAGGCCAGAGAGGTGACTCGGCAGTTAAGCAATCTTGTTGCTCTATCACGAGGACTGGAGTTCAGATCCCAGCACCCACATCGAGTGACTCATAAATGCTTCTAACTCTAAGGGATCTGACTTCCTCCTTCTGACCCCCAAGGATACTGCACATGCATGTCTGTGTCCACACACAAATCGTGAAAATTAACCCGACATGTGCATGTTTATGCATGCACACACACAAATAATAATATATCTTAGATAAAATAAAATTTTAGAAGTTTGGGGTTTAAAACCACCTCTTACAAACTCTGTGCCAGATTACCAGATAAGGCATAGTTCTATAATAAGGCTAAAAATCATTCTGAATGTTTTACATACTTTAGTCTCTCAAAGTGGTGCAGAATTCTAGTTGCACGGGTTGTGCTCTTTTGCAAAGTACACAAACTATAGATAACATTTCATTTCACATGAGACTGTAAATCTCTCATTTATAATAATCGTGCACTTACCAAGAAATGCGGAGAAGTTTATCATAAACCCGAAGACACTGCTCTCTGGAGGTGTGGTTCCCGTGTCACTGAGAAGGAACAAAATAAAATATCTGAATTATTTCTAAAGGAACTTCAATTCGAACCCCTGGACAGATAACTGGTCTGTTCTATATTGGTCTTCCTAGGTGTTCACTGAATTCCAAAGATATCACTTGAAGTTGTTCTAAGGTATTTTCATTTGAGCTCTAAAAAACCTAAAATTGGTTTTCCACCAAAAAAGATGGCATTTAGGGCTAGGGAGATGGATCTGTCAATAAAGTGTTTGTGGCAGGAGCGTGAGGCCTTGAGTTTAATCCCCAGCGTCCACGTGATACGTCTGGGTATGGTACCTCAATTTGTAATTCTGAGGGACTCGCTGGCTGCCAAGACAGCCCGGATGAATCGGTGAGCAATCTTGTCTTGAGATGGAGAGCAATTGAGTTTGTGAGTTTGGCCTCCAGAAGTATGTGCATGCACGCACACACACACACACACACACACACACATACACACACACACTCATACTGCACCTGCACATTCACATGTACTCACACATACATGAAGACATACATGGCCCTCAAAGGGAGTAGCACTAGGTGTAGGGTTTGTTGGAGTGGTGTGGTCTTTTTGGAGGAAGTGTATCACTGGGGAAGTGGGCTTTGAGGTTTCATATATGCTCAAGCTGCGCCCATTGAGATGATCACTTCCTGTTGCCTGGAAGCCAAGATGTAGGACACTCAGCTACCTCTCCAGCACCATGATGGACTGAATCTCTGAACTGTAAATGAGCCAACACAATTAAATGTGTTCCTTTATAAGAGTTTCCCTGGTCTTGGTGTCTCTTCACAGCAATAGAAACCCTAAGACACACGGATAAAAGCTACAAGGTGTTTAAAATAAATGGTAAGACTGTCTCTCAAACCACCCCACCTCGTAAGCTCAATTGAGTGAGACTGTTTTGGAAATAAAAATAACTGAAAAATATGCTTGAAAATTCCATGGTTGAGATATTAAAGGGACACAAATCCACCGCGTTATAATGACTAGATTTATGCACAATGACAAAGAACCGAGTCATATCATTGATCACTGCTGAGCACTCTATGGAAGCCCACAGGAAGGGAACCTCATTCGCAGCTGTCCTCAGCGACAAGCAGCCCATAGGCCATGGGTCGACTACGCCTGTTAGAGTATTAAAGTATGCTCATTTGAACAATTGTCTTAACAAAATGAAGTTCCTAGTAATAAAAGAAAGTCTTGCTGGGTGGTGCTGGTGCACGCCTTTAATCCCAGCACTCAAAAGGCAGAGACAGTTGGATCTCTGTGAGTTTGAGGTCAGCCTGGTCTATAGAGTGAGTTCCAGGCCAGCTAGGGCTGTTATACAGAGAAACCCTGTTTCGGGAGGGGAAAAAAGAAAGTCTTGGGTGCAGTCTATCAGTTACGTAGGTGACTCAGAAAGCGGTTGTCAGGAGCTGGGAGCATGGCTCAGTGTCAAAAGCCTAGCTCACACAGGCACCCAGTTCCATCAGAAGAAGCGTTGGGCATGTTCTATTTTCTTTTCATTGGTGCCAGGTTAAAAACTGTCAGGCTGCTCACAAGCACCCTTTCCAGCTTAAAAATGATGATGGAGGTGCTCCCAACATGTAACGGCTTGCACGGGATCAGGATGCTTCCTCTTCCAAAACCAGCTCTGAAATGTATATGCTGAAAACCCATCATGTTGAACAGACACACTTCCAAGCAGGCCGACAATTCTACAAGAAGCCCGTGCATGCAGCAAGCAGGTAAAGTCCGACACTTAACTCTTAAAGGGTGCAAGGAGGCTAAGAGCGGCTGGGAACGAACACCCGACTCCCAGGTGTTTCCATCTTGGCGTCAGAGCCTGATTAGGGCAGAACATCCCCCAGTTCCCTAGCTTCCTGCACTCGAGGAGGGCTGGAGGGGACTACCCACGTGCAGGCGGCCCTGTTGAGCCAAAGGTTGAGCGGACCAGGGGTAAGGGACAAGAGCCAGGAACACAATAATGGCCAAGACAGCCTGAGCCCTCGGGCAGCACATCTGCAGATGATTAAGTCTGAGAAGGACATCAGGCCTTCCTGTCTCCACCTTAGGGTGTAAAAAAAGAAACAAAAACCAGTGAGGCACCTCACAGTGCTTGGCACCCATTTGCCACCTTAGGCGTGCTAGGGACAGGGGCTAGCGTAGACGTGAGAGTGTTTTGGAAGGGAAGGAACGAACATAACGGGTCGCTATTCAAGACAAGTATGTGGCTTTATGAGGGGTAAAAAACATTCGAAAGGTCGTGAGAAAACAACTAGATGGGGCACTCGTCTACTGATGGCAGACCAAGACACATGTCATAAGCCTGGAGGTAGAGTCCGTAGGGCATCTGACATGGGATCTGGAAGTTCAGGCTTTCAGAATGCTGCTTTCTTCTTGTTTATCTGTTTCTAACCATAGAGGCACGATGCGGCTCACTGCCGGAGTGTATGAGTTATGTGAGAAAAGATTTCGGTTAAAAATAGGAAAATAAATAAATAAATAAATAAATAATAAAAAATGAATAAATAAAAAATAAAACACATAAATAAATGAATGAATAAATGAATAAATAAATGGACAAACAAACAAATCCCTGCAAGCAGAATATAAAGCACCCTGTAAATAACATATATATTTACATATATGTTTACTGAATGAGTGACTCTCACCCTCCAACCCTGAAAAGGCTAGCCAAGACTTGGTGGACACACACCTATAATCCTAACACTTGGGCAGTTCAGGCAAACTATGAATTCAAGGCCAGCTTGGGCTACATAGCAAGACCCTGAAAAAAAAGATCTAATTTAAATCACTTATTGAATATTAATTATGCATCTGACACGGTTTTATATTTACTGTATTGCTTGCATTTGCACTATCAGGAGCCTTGCTGAACGTTTCTGGGGAATGTCTACTATAAATTCCATTTTATTCAGGGAGATTGGGTATTTGAGAGGCTTTACAACTTGTTCAAGTTACAGAGAGATCTGTACCTAATGTCCAGCAACCTGATTCCCTGGCAGTCAAACAAAGCTGTCAGGATGACTGGGGGGAGCGACCACCGATGTGTTGACAAACGTTTACTAGACAGCCCTAGAAGATGCTTGGTTGGCTAGCATCTGCCAAGTCCTTACATGGGAAACAAAGGTTACCGAAATCCAAGACCCTGAACCTGGAGTTGGGAAGAGAATTACACAGATGGCTCTCAGGAGTCATGGCTGCTGGCCCCAGCACATCATAGGAAAGATCACCATGGATGTGAGAAGGGACCACTATGCCTTTGCTGTCGACCAGGAAGAGATTACGTAGGTGAGAACTCTAGGCTCCTCAAATAACGGAATTTAACTGTAAAGTCTCTTTGACAAGCAACGCCATGCTATGTCTAATTTTTCCCCACGGTTCTGGATGCACAATAACTATCATCAATGTGTTATTTCACACCCAGGAGTCTCATAGTCGGCTACTTTTTGCCACCATAAGAAGCTGTCAACACTACAACTATTTAAAAAAAAAAAACTTTGCCATGACTCTTTAAAAAAAGAATTATACTTTATTTACTGGTCAATAAAACATACTAAAAACCATCAGAATTCATCAACAAGAAGTAGGTACAGTTGCTCACTCTGTATTATTCCCAGACTATGAGAGGCTGAGGCAAGAGGATCACCTCAAGATCAAGGCCAACCTAGGCTCACATCGTGAAACTCTGTCTCAAGAAAAAAAAAAATCAGAAAACCAAACCATTTGAGTCACAGTTTCCTACATCTATCAGATAAGAATAGTCAGATTTGGGGTTTTCTACTCATAGATAAAACAGTACCTAATTGTATGAGCCAATTTTTTTCTCAAGAACATTTCGTGGAAAGCTTCTAAGCAGCAAATAAAATCTGGCCATATCTACAAACTTTATGGAAGAGTATTATTGGGAAGCGGGCGGGGGAGGGGAGGAGAAGACAACAGAAGATGATATTCTATGTGGAAGGGGTAAGGGACATGCAAGATGAAGACAGAGGAATGAGGGATGGAGAGGTCTTGTAAGAAAGAGATAAACAGCTGGGAGGTGGCGCACACCTTTAAGCCCAGCACTCCGGAGACAGAGGCAGGAGGATCTCTGTGAGTCTGAGGTCAGCCTGGTTTACAGAGTGAGTTCCAGGACAGACTCCAAAACTACAAAGAGAAACCTTATCTCTGAAAAGAAAAGATAAACAAAAACAAGCACAGTAGTATACATATTCCATAACTCAACTTGTCATTTTTTGTGCTAACTTAAAATTTAATAAATAATAATAGTAAGTAATAAATAATAACATTATACATTATCATTGGTAAAAGTAAACGAGTTCTTATTAGCAATGAAAAGTGTCTTTATTCTGGGTGTAGTGGTACAAGATTTTAATCCCAGAACTCAGGAGGCAGAGGCAAGCAGAGTTCTGTGAGTTCAAGGCCAGCCTAGTCCATATATTGAGTACCAGGCCAACCAGGGCTACATAGTGATGCCCTGTTTAAAAAGAAAAGAGAAGAGGAGAGGAGGGGAGGGGAAGGGAGGGGAGGGAAGGAGAGGGGAGGGGAAGAGAAAAGGAAAGAGAACTCTTCATAAATCTGTCAAGTCTCTGATATTACATATCACATGATAAGTAAACATTGAGCAATCCCTTCCATCAGATGTGGAAATGCAATAAATGTATTAACAACAAAGGACAGCCAAGAGGCTTTGTGGGTGAGCCTTTTTTTTAATTTTCTTTGTAAGCGCAAACTAAATGATGCCGTTTCACAAGCTCAGAGGTCGAGCAGTTGGCCATTCATATCTGTATCTTTATCTATATCTATTGAACCCATGGATTCAACCAAGAAAAAAATCCCAAACATATTTCGAATTGCACGTGTGCCATATATATGCCCTTGTCATTATCCCCTAAACAATACTGGGCAGCAGCTACTTTCATAGTATTTACTTTGTATTAAATGTCCTAAGTAATCCAGGGATGGCGACGTAGGCAGGAGGCTG